ATGTCCCCTGAGGGACCCAGGCATACCCCGGGGGACCCAGGTGTCCCCCCATCTCCCCAAGGGACCCAGGCGTATGCCCGGTGAGCAGACCTGGAGCAGGAGGTGGTACTTGAGCACCCGCTGCATCGGCACCATCAGGAGGTCCCGTAGGGAGAAGCGCCCGTTGTTGGCTCGTTGGGAGCACTCCTGGGGGTCATGGGGGTCAAAGAGGTCATGGGGGGTCACAGTGGGTCATGGGGGGTCATTGGGGTCACAGTGGGTCATGGGGATTGGGAGGGTCTAGGGGACATGGGGGTCACAGAAGGGAGTCAGAGGGGTCATGGGGGGACATAGGGTCATGAGGGATGGGGGGGTCCCAGGGGTGCTGGGAGGGTTCCAGGGGAACTACGGGGGTCCCAGGGGGGTGTCAGGGGGTCCCATGGAGGGGACTCAGGCATCTGGGTCCACCTGCAACTTCATGCGGAGGTCAGTGTTGGTTGCAAGCTGGTCAAGGCGCCGGGCGGCTGCTTCCACCTGGCTGCAGTAGCGGCCATAGAGCAGGAACCTGCAGGGATGGAAACTACCCAAGTCCACCTGAACGTGCCCAAAATACAGCCAGAATCTGCCCCAAAGTCAAAGGTGACACCAGACCCGGAATCAGACCCAGAATGGACCCACAATGGACCTGAAGTTGGACCCAAAATAGGCAGAATTGGCTCCAAAATGAACCTGAAGTTGGAGCCCAAATGGACAGGATTGGTGCTGATATCAGACCCAAAATGGACAGTGTTGACCCAAAAAGGATCTGAAATTGGACTTGGACAGATTTGACCCCCCCCCGAAATTGGAGCTGAAATGGAAGGAACTTCCCCCCAAATGGATTTGAAGTTAGACCAAAAATGGACAGAATTGGACCCCAAACCAGACCTGAAATTGGACTCAAAATAAACTCATATTGGACCAAAAATGGATCCAAAATTGGCCCCCAAATGGACCCTAAAATGGGCCTCCCCACCTTTACACCCATTGCCCCCCCCAGGACCCTCCCAGGACCCCCAGTACCCCCCAGGACCCCTCCAGGACC